TATTGCTAAAAAATTTTAACTTTTTTGCCCCAAATAGAACTATTGCACAAACAAAAAATTTACTCTAAAATCATATCATGACAATCAATAAGAATTTAAAATATTTCATTTAAATATTTAAAAAAATAATAAATAAAAAATAGTACTTTCATGATGTAACTTTAACATCAGAGCTTAAATCATTTTGACAACATACTATAACTTAAAAAATATTCTTACTGGTTTATATGAAATCATGATTTTCATATTGACTGGTAAGAATAATCTAGGAGAAAAGCACGGTTGTTACATAGTACCCATGGAATAAAGCAACGAAAACCACCCCAAGAACATATAAAAAATTGAAAACAATGCTTTTAGAGGAATAGGAAAGGCTAGATATATCGATTTTTATGAATTTAATTAACAGTATTCCAAATCATACTGCTGAAGTTATTTTTAATGAATGTTTGGCTGCAAATACTGATACATTATCTTCAACATATGTATTGTAATGATATATTGCTGAATTGGTATATCAAAATTATTATTAATTTGCTAAGCAATAAATTTACATATTAAGAAAATTTATGCTGTTTTTCATGTAACTGTGATATATTTTCTGAAGGTACTGTAAAACTTTACAAATATTGAATACAGAATAGCTAAAGGGATCTTATCATTTTCTGAACAGACAATATCAAATCCTGACAAATTAGCATGCATTAGATTAGGGTTTGTGTTAGTTCTGGTCAATTCTTGTCAGGATTTTGTTTGTCAGGAAAATGATAGAAATTCATGGCTAAAAGGTATTTAATCTAACTAGAAAAACAGAGTCTATTGGGTTCCAGAGCGCTGCTTTGTATTTGCAAACATGTTCTAAAAAAATCTAATTATTTGTAAGATATTAATAAAAATTCTTAGTGTAAGTGTATAATTATCATATACTTATCTTTATATATCTGTTCAATAAAAGCTAAAGACCTTTACCTCTGTAAAATCAGTTCTTAGATGCAATTTGACCAATTTAACACTATGAATTAGGTTATGATGTAATTATATAATTTACATAAAAAAATTGTTTTCACTTATTTGATTACAAAAATTTAAATTTGAATAATTAGTACTCATTATATCTAAATATTCCAATCAGCTTATAAGATTCCATAAAAAATGCATAAACCATTTTAATTTAAAAAAGTACACATAAAACTTCTAAAACTGATCTGTCTGGATTATGAAAATAAATTAATTAAATTTAAATAGCTATATTAAGTGTAAAATTAATTAAAAATTGTGCTTTTATCTATAAGTCACTTTTCTTCAAATATTCATTCTTGTGTCCTTGAACCTTTTTTGATATGTTGAAGTCTCTCAAAAGTAAAGTGCTCAAAAATAAGATTTAAATTTGATGTATTACTGCACTAAACTCATATATAGCATTTATTTCTATAATTAAACCACTATCAAGAATTTATTTTATTATAATTTATTATACTGCACCATATATAAAGTTAAATTTAAAGTGCAATATGTCATATACTTCTAAGAGACAGTAAATAAAGTTAAATTTAAAGTGCGATGTATATACTTCTTAGTAACGATAACTAAAGTTTAATGTAAAGTGCGATATGTCATATATACTTCTAAGTTATGGCAAATAAAGTTAAATTTAAAATACGATATGTCGTATCTACTAATTGACAACTTCAGTACTGAGCAATTGGATGTTTTTGAATTTTTTGTTTATGCTCTTATCTCACACCCGGAACCCACCCGGAATTTTTTTTCTCACCTATTGTCTGGCCTTAAGTTCCTCCGCTTTGCTCCAGTAATTAGTAAATTTATTTCACGGTTGAAAGTACTTTAAAAGTTCATATCGGCAGATTCGCGGAATTGGGTATATAAAAATAATTTAAGGAGTAATTAACCATAACGATCCAAAATTTTTGTATTGTTATTGTTAATTATCCCTTAAATTATACATAAACGCAATAAAAATGTAATAAAATAGAAATCGTATATTTTTTAGTCATTGAAATTGAGGATGCATTTTACAAACCCAATTCCGAAAGTTCGCCAATATGTTTACTGCGTTACAGTATTTCGACACTATGGCATTATGGCATTATGGCATTACGGCATTACGGAATTACGGCATTATGGCATTATGGCATTATGGCTAGGGTTGTCAAATTACCATAATTTACGTAATTTTGTGAAATTTTGCGCAAGTTTTCAGTAACATGGTTTTCATGTAATTTGTAAGAAACGTTATCATATGCTCATATGATTGGTTGGATCATATGTACATCGATTTGGTCAGTGAACTTTATGCAGAATCTACTGTAGTTCAATAATGCTAGCTGAGTTTTCATAGTGCCAGTATGTGTGAAATTTACATGAAATTCAAGTTACCGATCGACTGATATGTCCCATGATCTGTGATATGATAAATATATTTATATTAACAATTTATTATTCAAACTTTAGTTATTATTGCATACTATAATATATATACATATTGGTTATTATTAATTATTTATAAATGAATTATCTAGATATTTTATTTGTTATAAAGTGCTTACATTAATAAAATTAGCTTTACTGTTCTAAAATAGTCTTTTTTAGTATTAGAGTATTTATTAAAAATTGTTAAAGATTCTTTAAGATATTATGATCCAGTTTGGCTTAAATTTGGTTCAAATAAGTAGTTGCAGCTTATTCTTGGTTTAAATAATAAATTTAAAACAAAGAGCTAAGTTTTTTTAAATATTTTAAATAATATATAACACAAATAGTGAAGAATCATGGTTCAAACTAGTTTTTGAGCCAGTTCAAGTAACCCCGGTTACGGTTTCAAGACTAGCTTGAATAATAAACTGAGGTTCTCTAACGGATCAAACTAGTTTAAACAATAGCCTTTTAGATGTTATAGTTTGAGATAATAACGGAGCTATAAAGTATATTTAGATGGTGGATCGCAGTTCAAGGGATAAATTTATGATAAAAATTGGCGAAGAATTACTATTACTTTCATATAACGGTGGAATGCCGAACGTTTCTAGCAATATGAAGAAAAATGCCAATAACTCGCAGTCTACTAAACCAATTTTAATACTATTAGAACTAGAATAACTTACTCTATAATATTTGTTAGATACTCAAGGAAAGTTCACTTAGTTTAACAAAACTCTTCTCTGTAAGCTAGCTGTATAGGAAAACTATATTAAGTTTATACTGTTAAATTTGCTATTTTTTAAACCCTTAAAACCAAAAATACTTTCATTATTATAGAAAATAATGCGTTATTTTATCCACTTGCGCACTATTTTAAGATACCATATTTGTTATTTATAAAGGGCTAAAATTTGAACTTGATGTACGTGTTATACAAAGTGTTGGTGTGTTATTTTGAAACACACGATGTGAAGAGAAATAAGACAGATGGCTCTTATTAATCCTACTAAATCTGCATCTATGTACTTATAGTCAATATAGAAGAAAGGGTAGATAGAGAATTTGAGATCTAGAACATATTCGCCATATATTAAAAAGTTGAAATAGTGGCAAAAAATGTATTTAAAAACCCAGATGTTTTACTTTGAAAAAAGCAACTCAGATAAAGTTCAACACTCAAAAGTTCCAATCAAGTGTTTCGCTCTAGTAGTTGCTTCCGATAAGATTTGCAACTCCGGATTAAATACTCATAACATAATCTAGAGTTCTAATTGCCATAACTTTAATTGCTCAGACCAAGTCTATACATGCCTCGTTCAAAGCCCTCTACTATTAGAGCTATTAGGGCTTAGAGTATACTGTTGATAGTCCGTTATTTGCTGTTTGTGTGACTTTTAACCCAACTCAACTTGATCCCGGAACTTTCTTAACGTTAATGAGAATTATTTTGAACAAAAATATCGATATGATTTTTTAAAGGATGCAATTTCTAAAAATCACATACCGTAAACCGCTGACTTGTGTATTCCCCTATAATCTGTACCCGGGGTTATTTGGGCGCGAAAATGTCTCTTATGCGCTGGTAATATACAAAGTATACTTAAAAAGCAATATTTCTATACCTTGAGAAATACTCTATAGGTAAAAAAAACTTTGAAATTTGGCAAAGTAAAATGAAAAAAATGCCCCGAATACATCTCTAATCATTGTAAATACCTGGATACATGAATCAGCGGTTTACGGTAACTTAAAAGCTTGTCAAGTTGTTATCATACATGGACTATAAGAATGCAATTAACTTCTACTGTGATTGGTACAAAATGCGATTGTAAAAGCAAATATAAAGAATAAAATAAAAAATAAAAAATAAGCGAATAAATACAATAACGATAAATAAGCCAAAAGGGCACATTTTTATTTCAATAATTGTGCTACCCTTTGTCATCCACATTATAAACCAATTCGCATTCCGTGATCCTTTTTATTGAATTATATTACTAAAGTTTTTACAGCAAAGAAAGTTTATCATTTCTATATACTATTGCGGTTGACTAAGACTATGATATTCTGCTTTGAAAAAAGCACATCATGAATCTTAAAATTTTATACCCATTTGTGTGCTAACGTTAAATTCCAAAAATTGACGATTGTGCTGAAAATCGAGCTAAGATATTGACATCTGATAATCGAAATTAGTTTAAACACCACATATATTGATCAAAGGTAAAATCTTATTTATTACTTTGATAGATTAACAGTAAACACAATCCCGTTCTTTTTCTCAAGTTCGCATGAGAACTAAAGCAAGAAACGATATTTATATTTGACACATGTCTATTCTTACGTTGAAACCAGTAGCTGATACTAAAAGATATTTGTAGTTACATTGTAATGATAATATTATGACATCCTAAGTATACCTTAAAAAAAGGAACAAAACTTATGACTATATTTTCCATAAAGAAACAAAGAACAAAACCATTCAGGTATCAAAAAGCTAAACGTTGATTTATATATGCAAATTTCTCAAAATTGAGGACTTGCCGTCAGTTGTTAATGAGTTATAGATCTATAGAAACTTTTTTTCGTTTGCTATAACGATTGTTATTCCAATATATTCGAACACGTTGCATGTCCCAGTCATTATCATGATCTTGTAGCTGTTTTAAAATTTCAGTTGCTTTATCCTCAGGGAAGGTATCAAATCTAAGTATGTCTTCAAGTAATTTTTTTTCATTACTGTTTGTAAGTCTACGTTGACGTTTTACGCCCACTTGTTCAGTTGTATCCTCATTGCTTTGTAGATTATTATTTTTTGTTTGCCTTCCTTTTTGCTTCTCTTTCTTTTTGTGGTCTGATTGTGAAATTAACCGGTATACTACTACATTACGTTTGCGACGACCATCTGTATTTCGTGGTTCAGTTTTATATA